GTGGGTTCAGGCCAGCCGATGCATGTGCCTCGTGATGACTCCAGGGCAAGTGCTGCGTGAACAGCTGGTCCCACGGTCACGCTCACCAGTAGCCGAGTCCAGGCTAGGCAAGTTCATGTCCGAGCAGGGTAAAGAAGGGTCATAAAGGCTCACGGGTAGGTAGGTCAGCAAACTATAACTGATAGGCCAAGCATGTTTTTTAGTTTTTAATGGTGGGAGATGATTCTTTGGGGCTCCTGGGTGGCTCAGTCGTTAAGCGTCTGCCTTTGGCTCAGGTCATGATCCCAGAGTCCTTGGGTCGAGCCCCGTGTCCGCCTCCCTGCTAAGCAGGGGTCTGCTTCTCCCTCTCCCGCTCCCCCTGCTTGGGCTCGCTCCCTCACTGTGTCTCTGTCAAATAAATAAATAACATCTTAAGAAAAAAAAGATTCTGTGACACGTGAAACTGATCTGTAGCTCAGACTTCAGCGTTGGTAATAAAGGGTTATTGGAAGATGGCCACACCCATTGCTTCCTTAGTGGCTGCTTGAACGGCTGTGACAGAGCCTAGGTGGCCTGCAAAGCCTGAGATATTTACTCGTCTGGCCCTTTCTGGAAAAAAGTCTTCTGAAGCTCGCAGATAAGATATGTGGGACGTGGCCTCCTGCGTGACATGGGGATGTCATTCACAATGCCCTCCGGCTGTCCCCTCTCAGAAGGAGTACATTCTTTGTGCCTTTTAAAACGAGATTAGTATCTCACCGAGATTAGTATCTCACGGCATTCACTCAAGGCAACGACAATAACAACAAAAAAACCAACTCAACAACCAAATGGTAGCCAGCAAACCAGAGAGAGGAGACAGGCAGGGGAGTGATGGGGCGGAAGGTGCTCTCGGCCCCCGGCGGGCAACGTCACAGTGGACCAAGGTTGGACATAAACGAGCAGTCTTGCATCCTAACTGTGCAGGCTGGACACTGGACAAGCCCTTTCTAGGACTTAGAATATGAAGAAGCCAGAGAAAAATCACGATCGGAAGACCTGGACTCTGCAGAGTGGGTCAGGCTTACTGGAAGCAGATGGAGACGCACCTTCTTCGGTCCTCTGATGGCCTGACCTGCCGAGAGAGCTTGCTGGTCGTCCCCGGTGTGAGGAAAGGGATTGGTAGGAGCCATGAAGAGGAGTCTGGGCTAGGAGGGAAGGCCTTCGAGGTGGGGTTTTCAAACCGCCGGAATTGCAGAGTGGTTTGGATGCAGGTCTCGAGGTCCCTTCCAGGGCGAGGGCTTTTCAGCTGGGTTGCACGGGGCCCTCTTCCTCTCCAGGAGTGGGTTCTGCTGGACCTCAGCCTCTGTTTCTCCTCCAGGCATCATTCACGCCAGAGGACTGGTTCGAGAGTGCTTGGCGGAAACGGAACGGAATGCCCGATCCTAGCTGCCGATCAGCGCAGAAGGTTTTCCATCTTTGTCTAAGACCAGAAGTTACAGCTCATCTCCCATGTTCAGATGAAACTCTTGCTTTCAAAATGGTAACAGTTTGGTTTCTCCTTCCCACGTCCCTCCTGTGGTTCACGAGGCTCTGAGATTGAGAAATATTTTGCAGTGGACTAGGATTTACCTTTTCAATAGTTAGGAATTACCCAGGGGTTTTTGTTTTTTTGTTTTTGTTTTTCTCCTAAGCATTGATTTAAAAGATGCACGTAAAAGATACCTATCTCACAGCAGAGCTCCCAGTTACGTTACCCAGATTGTTCTCCATTCTTTTTCATAAGCTAATACAACTCTGAGGGTTTTTTTGGTTTGTTTTTTGAGTGCATACGTTTGCCCCACGGTGTGTGTTCCGCTTAATATAACTTCTTTTGTGCTTAAGCATTTGCTTGCATGACTACGAGTGCTTTGAGGTCAATTTTAAAAAATGCACAAGTTATAAATACAGAAGAGAGAGCAACCCTACCAAACCTGACCTAACAAGATCCCCCTCACCCCCCAGTTTTCCTGCCAAGACTGTGTGTGGATGTCAGTTCTGCTTTTCCCGTAAGGTGATCTAAACATCTGGAAGAAAAATGACTAAAACTCTTTGCATCTTTGTATGTATTTATTACTTGATGTAATAAAGCTTATTTTCATTAACAATTTGTATTAAGGTGTGGGTTCCTTGAATTCTTAAATGTTGGTTTTTTTTGTGTATTTTTTTTTAAGTGATATTTTAAAAAAATAGCTCCTTGGGGGCACCTAGCCGGCTCAGTCCCTAGAGGTGCAACTCTTGATCTGGGGCTTGTGAGTTCAAGCCCCACGTCGCGTGTGGTGGTGACTTAAAAATCAAATCTTTAAAACAAAACAAAATGAAAAACCGCTCCTTCAACGAGAGAGAGATCCCTGCCCCAGAGGGTTTGCCCACCTGGTCCCAGAAACATTTTGTGTGCCGATGGCCGAAACATCCCGGGCTGGGGAAGGCAGTTGTTTGCCTAAGTCGGAAGGTGGGGGTCAGGCAGAGCTGCATCCTGGTGCGTCGTGACTGCTGCGGACGCGGGTGCCCGCCAGGGAAGTGAGCAGGAACATTAGTGGAGGGGTCTTACTGACTCTTCCCGCCGCCTGCCCACAGTGAGGCCATTCTCAGCTTCCAGATGCTTGTCCTGTGAGCATTTCCGGGCTGCTCCAGGAGTCTAGTTCTCCTACAAGGTGGCCTCTGGACTCCCGTGAGCTTCCTCTGGTGCCCGGGGACAATCCGCCGCCCTGGTGCTCAGGAAGGCTGGCCTGCGCTGGCTGTGCTGAGACTGTGGGGTGAGCCCCAGCAGCAACCCCCAAAGGGATTTGGTGGAGATTTTTACTCCATTCCTGAGGCACTAACTAAGCCCTGGTCACCACCATCCGTGGTGACCTGGAGACCGAGACAAAGGAGGGATGGCGTCAGTTTTGCAGGCAGGAGGGAAGGGCCCAGCCACGACGGGTCCAAAGGCGGGTAAGGGACTCAAGGGAGCGGGCATATCTATGTCTGTTTCGTGCACGAATTCCAAAAGGTACAAGAGAGGAGACAGATTGAAGCCTCTGTCTCTGCTGTCTACAGCTCTCAAGTTTCTCTTTCCACTGTTACCGCTTGTCACGTACCCTTCCAGGCGCGTGGCTACCTTCTGAATGGAGGTCCATGTGGGGACGGGTCCTGGGTGCTCCGACCGGCCTCCAAAGCCTTGCACACAATGCTTAAGCTTCCAGACCAGCTCGCTCTGAGGTGAGAAGAGCCTTACCCTCTGCCTTAAAGGAGAATTTCTTTGGACACAGCTACTGGGCACGCGGTCTGTGCGTGCTGAATGGGCTGGTTTTGACTGTAGGTCCTGTCTGACGGTGGCCTTCTCCCGTCACGGTTTTTCCCCTACTTGTTTTTTTTTTAAGATTTTATTTATTTATTTGACAGAGATCACAAGGAGGCAGAGAGGCAGGCAGAGAGAGAGGGGGAAGCAGGCTCCCCGCTGAGCACAGCGCCCTATGCGGGGCTCGATCCCAGGACCCTGGGATCATGACCCGAGCCGAAGGCAGAGGCTTTAACCCACTGAGCCACCCAGGCACCCTCCCCTACTTGTTTTATGGGTGAACCCCAGATGTGTTCTGACAAGCCAAGCTATTACCTCTGCCTAAAAGACCCACACAATTGTGGGGTCAGATCCAGCTTGAGTGATGGCCTTGTGCAAATTCACAATCAGGTTTCTGGAAACTCCTCTCATAAATCCACTTGTAAACCCATAGGGAATGTCGTGTACTTTTTTTTAAGAAAGCTCTACCCCCGTTGTGGGTCTCAAACTCATGACCCTGAGATCAAAGATTTCCATGCTCCAACAACTGAGCCAGCCAGGCGCCCCAAAAATGCCACTAATGTTTGACTCCCTTCCACAGTTTTCAAAAAAAAATGGAACTTCCTGGGGGAGCCTGGGTGGCTCAGTTGTTAAACATCTGCCTTTTGCCTTTGGCTTGGGTCGTGATCTCAGGGTCCTGGGATCGAGCCCCCTATTAGGCTCCCTACTTAGCAGGGAGCCTGCTTCTCCCTCTCCAGCTCTCCTTGCTTGCTTTCCCTTTCTTGCTATCTTGGTCATAAATAAATAAAATCTTTAAAAAAATTTTTAATTAAAAGAATGGAACTTATTATTAATGCTTTTTTCAAAAAGTTTTATTTTTAACCTTTGATAATAAGACAATCACACAAATATGCAGCTTAAAAAAATACAGTGACATCTTTATAACTAGCCCCCCAGGTCCAGAAAGAACTTTGTCAGCCATCCACAGCCCCTCTGGGTGTCCTATCATGATGACCCCTTTCCGCCCCACAAAAAATAGCCGCTGTGTCTCTTTATAGTTTTATTCTCAAAATGTGTGTCTTTATTCGTCACAGTTTAGTCCGCCATTTTAAAAATTTTGATTTAAAAATGTTAAGTCTGTCAGAAATACAGAAATCCTAGAGTAACGCTTGAGATGGGATGGAACTCCCCATCATTATTCCTTGGAAACATCTGGCAGGTTCTTTTATTTTATTATTTTATTTAGTTTTTTAGAGAGACGGAGTGTGCAAGCATGAGCGGGGCGGGAGAGGGAGTGTGGGCACAGACGGAGACGGAGAGAGACTCTTAAGCAGGCTCCCAGCCCAGCATGGAGCCTGATGCAGGGCTTGATCCCACGACCTTGAGATCATGACCTGAGCTTAGGTCAACAGTTGGATGCTTAAGTGACTGAGCATCCCAGACGCCCCTGCATCTGCAGGTTCTTTAGTTAGAATCTGTGATTTTTTCAGGGACACCCGAAGAGTGTGTGACTTTTGATCTCGGGATCAGGGTTGTGAGTTCAAGCCCCACGCTGGACGGAGGTCTTAAGAACAAAAACAAACGGGGCGCCTGGGTTGCTCAGTGTGTTAAGCCTCTGCCTTCGGCTCAGGTCATGATCCCGGGGTCCTGGGATCGAGCCTCATATCGGGCTCTCTGCTCAGCAGGGAGCCTGCTTCCTCCTCTCTCTCTGCCTGCCTCTCTGCCTACTTGTGATCTCTCTCTCTGTCAAATAAATAAAATCTTAAAAAAAAAAAAACAAACAACAGAAAAGCATCTTCGGTTCTTTCTCAGCGGACATTTTTACTTGCTTCCCAGAGTTCTTTCAGCAGCTTCTTTTTCTCTAGGGTTTCCTTTGCTCTTTTTTTCCTCTCTTGCTTTTTCCTCTCTGCCTCCTGTTTTTCCTTGTAAACAAGACTGTTTTCACCATTGTAGAAAATATCCAGTTTCTCTTGGAGGATTTTCCGAGCGAGTTTTCTGTTCTGATCGACCGATCTTGTCTGATGGCACTGCAAGAAATGGTATTTTGTAATGTGAAAAAGTTTGTTCTGGGCGGGACCTCAGAAATTGTGGAATTCGACCTAGTCGCTCCACAGACGGGGACGGGCCCAAGAGGCAAGTCTACTCCATCAAGAATCCCAGTGAGTCCGTGATGGAACAAAGACCATACGCCCTCCTTCCTGCCTCTTCCTAGCCTTCACCTTGTCCCAGCTGCTCAGCTGTATGTGACTTTCTCGGTGATGGTTTTATAATTAAGAGTATTGCTTTGGGGCGCCTGGGTGGCTCAGTGGGTTAAAGCCTCTGCCTTCGGCTCAGGTCATGATCTCAGGGTCCTGGGATCGAGCCCCGCATCGGGCTCTCTGCTCAGCAGGGAGCCTGCTTCCTCCTCTCTCTCTGCCTGCCTCTCTGCCTCCTTGTGATCTCTGTCAAATAAATAATAAAATCTTAAAAAAAAAAAAGAAAAGAAAACAGTGTTGCTTTGGTCGGAAGCAGAGATAGCCTTCAGGTAACATAAAGTCCCCAGATAATTTTGAAAATATCAACTGATATGTCTAGCTTGTGGCCCAGGTAATAAGCCCTCTGCGCCATTTATAAACATAAAATTCTGACTCAGGGAGGAAGATAGCATCTGTTATTAGTCAACCATACTGTTGATCATGTCATCCCTGAGTTATTAAGGGCGAGTGCCCTTTGGAAAACTATTTGATAAAAAATTCTCTGAAATTAGAGTGAGAGAAGAGTACCGGAAGCAAATCTGCAGGGAGTTTATAAAAGAGTTAAACAAAAATCCTGTCAGGTTTCAGAATTTTCTGGGTTGCTCATGAATGACGCTTTTTCTCAAGGAAGACAAAAGTGATTGAGATTTTAACTGATAGATAGGCTCCTGGCTCAAAAAACTTGGCAGTGAAGAACCGTTGTCTCGAGCACAGACTTTGGGCTTGGTCTGGGTTGACGCCCGCAGCTGTAGGATCTTGGGCAAGTGACTTAACCTCTCTGTGCCTGATTCCACAGCTGTACCTTGAGGAAGACAAGGCATGAGGGCTCAACGAGGATGACGACTGTGTGCGGAGCTGTGCCAACCAGGGCCTACCCCGTCTCTGGTATGTGGAAAGCCCACCTTGCTGTCTCTTCTTGGGGCTCTCTGGCAACTCAGAACAGACTAGCAGTTAGTTGTACTGAGAGGCAGTGGGGGCTGCTACTAATCAGGAGACGGGAGAGAACATTTTAGTATTCCTAGGGGTTTGGGTTGTGCTGAGAGCTGGGGATACTCTGATCAGAGATTTTTTTAAAAAAAGATTTTATTTATTTGACAGAGATCACAAGTAGGCAGAGAGGCAGGCAGAGAGAGAGGGGGAAGCAGGCTCCCTGCTGAGCAGAGAGTCTGATGCGGGGCTTGATCTCAGGACCTTGAGACCAGACCTAGGCAAAAGGCAGAGGCTTAACCCACTGAGCCACCCATGTGCCCCTCAGAGATTGGTTGTGAGGTAAAGAAGGATGACGCCTCCGGGCAGCCATGCGTCGCGTTTTTATCCTGAGCGCCGGACATGCTCTGCCTGGGTTACCGCACTCCGAGAAGGACAGGAGTCATGGACATTGACCAAAGAGGGGACCAAAGCGGGGACGTCTACCTTGATGACGATGCCGGAGGGGATGTGCCTCAGCACCACACAGTTGCTGGTTTTGTTGGTGGCCTGGCCCCCCGGACCATGCCCTTTCACGAACTGCTCCTCAAGGTCCCTCTCCTCCAGGGGAGGCAGAGCGGGGCGGTCCTTCTTGCCTGCCACCTGCACCGCAGTGACCACTGCTGTCGGCGCGAGCAGCGCCTGCTTCTCCCGAGGCCCGGGGCCCCCCGGCGCTGGCCATATTCTGGCCAGGGCTGCGGCCCAGCGGAAGCAAGCCGAGGGCCTCATGCAGAGGGCTCTGCCTGTTCGCCGCCCGAGCTGGAGGAACAAAAACAGACAGCCTTTCAGGAAGATGCATTTGCTCCCGGGATTACCCTAAAGGTTCTAGGACAATCTTTCATCAACCAGCTCAAACGAGGACCACCCATCCGTCCTGTGGGGTGTTTAGGAAGTTAGTAGAGATGGCAAGGCACAGCCTTCTGCAGCCTCTCCCGGGGTCCTCGCTGCATGTGCCCTCCCAGCTCATAAATGTTTTTTTTTTTTTTTTTTTTTTTTTTTTTTAAGATTTTATTATTTGACAGAAAGAGCACAAGCAGGGGGAGCAGCAGAGGGAGAGGGAGAAGCAGACTTCCTGCTGAGCAGGGAGCCTGACACAGGACTCGATCCCAAGATCCTGGGATCGCGACCTGAGCTGAAGGCAGACCCTTAACTGACCGAGCCACCCGGGCGCCCCGATAAATTTTTTCAAACTGAAAATATCTTGGAAGCCCCAGAGGCGCTGCCTTCTCGGAGGGAGAGGTCTTGAGCGTGACATTCAAAAGAACAGGGCTGTAATTCGATAAAGAAACACTGAACAGCGTATCAAGCAAGAATTAGGATCCAAGTTCAGTGACGTTATTTAGGCGTTTGAGAATCTTTGAAACCCAAATGTAAAGACGACCGTGTGCACGTCTGTCTTCTAGCTGAGCTGACGCGGTCTGACACAGTAAGTATCACTATCAATCAATGTCATGATTGTTGTTTTCTCATGTTTCCAGTTTCGTGGATTTGAATGGGAACATCTGTTCCCTCCGACGCGCTGCCGGTAACGTGATCCAAGTGGTACTCATCCCTGGAACGTTCGGATCAACTGATTTTTGAGGGTGCCTGCGTGGTTCGCAGGGTGACGCGAGGTGGGAGAGAGCCAGACTCTGTCTTCATGGAGCTTAGAGTCTAGTCAGAGAGAAGAGGCTAGAAGAGAAAGCAGGATTTAATCAGACTTAAATAGCGACTCCAGACGTAGCAGAAGGCTGGAATGTCTTTGCTGACAAGTGAATGGTGTAGAGAAGGAATAGCTTCCAGGACACGGTGAATCCCACGGGCCTTTGCTTTCTTCCAGGGGAGGAAGGCAGAACGGGCTGACAGGTGTGTTAGCTCTTTTCCAAAGATGGGTCGCCTCCCCTTGCCAACAGGGACAAGTCACAGCGTGGGCCTGTTTTCTTACCAGGAAAATGGGTGAACAAGCCCTTCTCTGCCCGTCCTGCACAGGCTTAAGGATCAGAGGGGGGAAAAATAATCTGGAAAGAGCTTTTGTTGAATCCCTTTGAAGGCATGAGACTGATTTTTAGCAAAATTCCTGTCACTCGGGTGGACTGCGGGAACGAGGAACGTGCCACTTGCTTCCTGCTCCTTAATCCAGGATGATGCAGGTGCTAAAAACGGATGGACTGTCCTTTCTAACACATGCTCCCTTTGAGGTTCTAAATAGCTGCTTTTACCATTTGAAACCTTCTAAGTTCTAGCTGAGGGCCAGGGGTCTCTAACCTAGGTAGGAAGTGGTGTATACCTGAGCCAGCGCCCTAAGCCAAAAGTAGCTTAATCACGCACCAAAGAATTTCAGCAGGTTTGCGCTCGGCTCATTTCCCTTCCGCCCCGTCAGTTCTGGCTGCTAAGATCTCGGAGCCCATGCTGGTCTCTAACAAGGTTTGAGGACGCTGACCGCAGACGCAGGCTCGTGGGCACTGCTGCCTTGTAAATATGTACATTTCTGTTATTTTACGGGTTATCCCTCCGAGTAATCAGTTCAGCTGGTCCTGAGAGGATCCTGGCCATCTTTCGAACGACAATACCGTATTCTTAACCTCTCTCTCTATGGAAAATAAGTGTAATGAAATGTACTTTTCAAGCCTGATGCCAATACTGATTTTCAATCCTGTGACAAGGACGTGATGGTCTAAACTCATAACTTCTCTCCGAAAAGTACGGCATTCAGGATGCGTGTCAGTCCCGGGGGTCGGGCAATTAATGTGGTGTCAGGAGGATGCTCGGTGGCCGCTGGGCCGGGCTAGATTTTGAAACCGAGCATGCCAGGGAAAGGGGCACTTTCATCAAAACTGGTTTTGATTATTGTGTGTCAAGTCTTTCGGAAGTACGCTCGGGGAAAAGATAAATGATAAACACCAGCACTTTTCTGAAATCACTGCAACAAAGAATCCGCTCCCCTGTAAGCGATTAACTGAATGAGACCTGAGTCGATGTCCGAAATGTCCCTTCCCTTATTTCTGCTTTTCAATCCATACAACAAGATTTCTTTGTGTGCCAGACAGCATCGAGTCCCTGGATCGGATTCATTATGGAACACAAGCCGGGGGCCTCCCCTGGGGTTTCTCTTCCGCTAGTTAGTAAATCTGACCAGGCAGGACAGCACTGGAATAGAGTGCGGCGACAAAGGAAGGAAGTGAGTCTGAGACGAGGCGAAACTCCCAGACAAAGGACAGAGAGGAGAAGGCTTTTATCAGCTGCTTTGTCCCCGGCCGGCTGTTTCAACTCTCTACCTTTCTGGCCTAGTTTGGGGCTGACACGTACCCTGGAAGGCCTCCCACCCAAATGGGGTTTAAGAAGGTCCCCGGTGTTCACTTACTGGCTGCTTTAACAGCTAATTCCAACAGCCAATCGGGCGATTCGCAGTACTTTTCGTATCTCTGGGAGCTTTGGCTGTACTCCAACGACTGCTAAAAATGACCAGCGCACCCATGGTTCCACTTCCCCAAGGCCCAGGGAACACGGACTGGGTTTCAGGTTTTGTGATACCCACAGAGCTAACTCAAAAGTCTTCGGGGGACAATCAAAGCAGCTCAAATTAGAGCTCATCGTGACACTAAAAAAAGAGCAACAGAAAAATGGTGGTAAGAGGTGCTGGTAAGGGGAAACCGGGAGTCATGACAGTGTGCCCCGTTTCCTGCCTGTTAAGCGTGCGCCTCGATTCGGGGCTGGCTCTGCACCCTCGCTTCCCCTCGGCCCTGCTTTTCCTCTGAGGATCGTCTGTGCTCAACAGCATGACTGCAGTTTGGCTTAAAACCTCTCATTGTCCCCGTTCCTTCCCACTGGATCAAGTCAGAGATGATAGGGCGTTAGGACTTTCCAAAAGGGAATGCTGATTTGTTCAATCAGTATTTTCAACATCTGCTGTGTGCCAGGCATGGGCCTCGGGGTGCCAAGGAGCCTGTGGCATAAAAGAGAAATTAAAGATGACCCCAGGAGTGCCTGGGTGGCTCAGTGGGTTAAGCCTCTGCCTTCCGCTCAAGTCATGATCTCAGGGTCCTGGGACTGAGTCCCGCATCAGCCTCTCTGCTCAGCGGGGCACCTGCTTCCCTCTCTCCCTCTCTCTCTGCCTGCCTCTCTGCCTACTTTGTGATCTTTGTCAAATAAATAAAATCTTAAAAAAAAAAAATGCCCCCCAGTATGATGCATGCCAATAGCTGGGTTGGAGAACAGGCTACAGAGCAGTGGTTCTCCAACTTCCTAAGTCACTTGGAGGGCTCGTGCCCCCTTTCTGGAGTTAGAGCCAGCCACCACACGTTCCCTCCTCAGGCCCCCCCCAGTCAGCCCACACCTAGGAAGACGCCGGGCTGCAGGGATCCCTGCATGCTGAGATCTGGAACGTGCCCCGTGACTGCGGCAGACAGGTGTAAAGTAGACCAGCAAGGTAAGGGTCCCTTCCCCAGCAGCTCTAACGCTCCCGAGATGGGGGAGGGGCTTGGTCCTGGATCTCTGTGAGAGGGGAGGTTATCTCAATCTGTTTGCAGGAAGTCCTAGGATTTCAATCTTTGGACTCACCTTCTGGATGCCATGTGCCTCAGATTCACTGCTTAACTATTTTTTTTTTTTTTTGAGAGAAAGAGAGAGAGAGTGCTTGTTTCTCTGAGCCACCGCTTGCGTGGTTAGCTCAGCCTTGTAGAAACTTCATCAAATCCCACCAAGGGAACAGATGTGGAGGTGAACTGAAATGGGGGTGCTTTAGGAAGATGGCTGGAGAAGCTCTCACTGAGCACATTTTCATGAGCAGACAAACCCCCTGGGGGGCCCGTTCCAATGGGTCTGGGTGGGGCCAGAGACTCCGCATTCCTAACCAGCTCCCAGGTGAGGCTCCTGCCTCCAGGAGTGCCACAGCCAAAAGCTTTGAGCAAAGGTGCTTGCCTGAATGGCAGCTCTTAGGACCGCCGGACGACTGGATGGGAGCCCCTGAACAATGATGGCAAAGATGGACATGAGGAAGGTGGGAAGGAGATTAATGGTGGGAACAGCAAACGTTCACAGGAAAGAATGATGCCAATACTGACCTGAGCTAACAGAAGGTGAAATGGTAACAAGGGGATTGAGAAACGAGGTCATCTGAAAAAAGAACACTGATAACGTTTCTGTTACATTAGTGTTCTAGAACAGCCCTGTCTGGTATGAATGTAATGTAGGCCATGTGTGAAATTCTAAATTTTCTAGCAGTCATCTTAAAAACAGTAAAAAGAGGGGCGGCTAGCTGGTTGGTGGAGCACGTGACTCTTGATCTTGGGTGCAGATCAAGCCCCATGTGGGGTGCCGGGAAAAATAAAATCTTTAGGGGTGCTGGGTGGCTCTGTCGGTTAAATGTCTGCCTCTTGATCTCAGCTCTGGTCTTGATATCAGGGTTGTGAGTACAAGCCCGAGCTGGGCTCCACACTGGGTGTGGAAGCTACTTAAACAAAATTAAAAGTCTCAGAAAAATAAAACAGTAAAAAGAACCAATGATGGAGGGCCTGGGTGGCTCAGTCAGCTAAGCACCTGCCTTCGGCTCAGATCATGATCTCAGGGTCCTGGGATCGAGTCCCGCATCAGGTTCTCTGCTCAGTGGGGAGCCCGCTTCTCCCTCTCCCTCTGCTGCTCCCCCTGCTTATGTTCTCTGTCAAGTGAATAAATAAAATCTCTAACAATAAATAAATAAATCTTTAAAAATATTTATTTATAAACTTATAAATAGATTTATAAATAAAATATTCATTTTAATATATTAACCCAGTATATCCAAAATATTACTTCAACATGCAATCAATATGAAAAGTATTGCATTTTATTTCTTATATGAAGTCTTCAAAATCTGGGGTGTCTTCAATGCTGCCGTATCAGACCATGTAGCCCCAGAATCTTGCTCCTCATTATGGTTCAGAGAGCAGCAGGAACAGCCCCACCTGGGAGCTCATGAGGAATGCAGACTCTCAGGCCTGACCCCAGACTGTCTACATGAGAGTCTGCCTTTTAT